GTTTATTCAAGAATCGGGTATTCAAACCCTACCTCACCCACCCCACCCCACCTTACAGCCCCGACTTAGCTTCTTGTGACTTCTTTTTATTCTCCACCATAAAAGATAAGATAAAAAGCAAGTTTTTTTCAAGTGCCGAAAAAGCGGTGGCTGCCCATGAATCAGCTATTTTCGATCTGTTGGAGGTAGTCTGGAATAAGTGTTTCCAAGACTGGTTCAGGTGAATGATAATTTGTATAGAGAGTGATGGAGAGGATTTTGAAAAAATATAATATAAATTGTCAGTATATATTGTTTACTTTTTGCGTGTCTCAAAATTTATATAGAGACCTACGTAAAAAGGGGTACAAAGATTTTTGTCATGTATGTGTCTATCTAGGTATATGTGCAATATTTAAATGTAATTTATAAAGTCTCTCTCCTAATCTTTTGCTGTGCCCGACAGGGTCCATATTGGTTCTCTATTTTTATATTTTTAGGACTATTTATGTATAATAAATGATTGAGTATTGAGTTTTGAACGCCTTACAAGGCTACTATAGTCTACCCTCGTACTGCTCAATAGAAAGTGCAGTCCAGCACATATTGAATACTATCAGCAAGTAGCGTCCATTCTACGGCTTTACTTCGCCATGTAGTAGGTACTGAGAACTCTTTAGAACAAGACATATCTTGTACAAAACAAACTAGTCATTATAGACGTTGCATCAAGTAATTATGAGGTGTTGGCTTGGAACCGTTATGCGCCATACCTAATTAGCCACTGTATTATATTTCCTTTTTAGGATAACAAAGCTGTAAGATGATTACATCTGTAACACTCACACGAGTGTACTTATTTATGGAAACGGTTAAAAAGAGGCCATCCCAGAAAAGCTCGTAAGATTTATATTCAAAGTACCTAGGGACCTAATTACTGTACAATATGAAGGAAACCTATTTATATCACTGAGTAGGTATTCGTCAACAAGCCGCACTCTGAAATACCTACTGTCGTCTTGGGCAAATGTTCATGAATAGCACTAGAACAGTAGATAATTATATCTATAAGGTATAGTAAGTAAGTTACTTTTGTTGGTGAACTATTAGACACGTGGTGGTGCGACAGGGCGGGTGGCGCGCGCCTGCGCGTGTGTGTGGGTTGCGCGACTTTATCAGTGGGAAGGTAAACAAAACACGTGTTGGAGGGGCGCGTGGCATTGTTTACAACTAGCGACGGCGCGGGCGGCGGTGGGCGGGCCGCTGCGCACGCGCCACCTGCCACGCCCCGCGCCCGCCACGCCCACCGCACTGGCACACGCCTACCTCTACACTCGCTTATTGGTTTCAACGGGGATTGTAAGAAAACCACTCGTTAAAATCATACTAATTATTTTCTCCAGTTATGAAACAGATATATGTCCAAGGTATGCAATTGTTTATGTGAGAATGGTTTAACTGAACAATTCAAGAGACGTAGCGTACCTACACATTCGTTTGTTTTGGAACTCTTAGCTAAGCAACATAATAATAACAAAATATGAAGAATTTTAGGGCGATTTAACGTTTAAGACAACACCGACACGGCGTCGGTGATAAAATAATGATGAAAGGGTGACGGCGACACCCTAGTATCAGCTTTATTCATTGCACATTGACGTTTCAAATAACGATGAGTACACTGTCAGTTCTATACCCTTACTTTACATTCTGTTACCACACAAATCAGAAACTACTATATGGGAGGCTTTTATAATATTTAAAAATTACAATTTAAGTTAAATATTGCAGTCTACAAATGTCATTTCGAATCGGCTACCATAAATGCTGTCAAATATTTTGATCTACACTTTGTTAAGAATGCCTGAAAGATGTGTTAAAAATTGGATTAACTCAAGAGAAGATTGTCACAGTTCTGGAAACCTATCTTGCTGTATATGATATATGCTCCGGAATACCAGAATTTAACGAATTTCAAAAGTATTTGAATAACCCAGTGGATCCTCAAAATTACAAAGGACATAGCTGTTTTAAAGAAGAAAATCGAACAACGAATGTTCGTATCGCCTGTAGGGAGGGCACCCCGGAGGTTTAATACTAAAATACTACTCGTATGTACTAAATAAATCTTTATTCGCTATTAAAAAAAGAAGCATAACTCTATGATCTGGTGTGAATTTTGTCTGTAGTTTGTTTCTTTCTTCTGTAAGGTTATGAAACTGATTAAATCGTTTGAGATACGTCTCAAATAGCACATTCACACCAATTTGCATAATGCGAATAGAAATGATAGCTGCGCTGTTTCTTCTCTCAAACAGCGGTAGAACATGATTTTTTTTATGAATTCTAGTATATATTTTTATTAAATTTATACATCAAAGAACAACCAGAATTCACTTACTCATCGACTTTCCCAGAAAATCAAACTTAAATTGAATGAGAGACAGGCAATAAAGCACGTCTTGCCGACATTCCTACATCCTGGAGGATCAATCCGTTCCATTACATCACAAATATCACATCACAAATTTCTAACAACTATAGCCAATAACGAGCATAGTATATATCACGCTAGCAGATCACATACTCAACACCCACAACTAATCAGGCTAGTATTTTGCAGCTAAATTGTAGTAATTTGTAGTGAATAAAATAATTTTGTAGAGCCGAAATCGAGAAATCAGGTGATCTACTAACGTGATATCATGACAGCAGATCACGCGTGCGTTTCCGCTGATCACGGGCTCAGTTTTTTTTTCAATTGGTATCATATTTTGTGGCAAATGTGTAGAAAATAAGTAGTAGAAAAAATAATTTTAAAGCCTACCGATCTCGAGAAATCAGGTGATCTGCTAGCGTGATATACGTAAGTATTTAGTAATAATAATGTTTATATACTTTCGCAACAAGAATTAAAAAAATTGGTTCAGATTTTTTACGTTTATTTAAATTTGCTTTCTATGTTTGCTGTTTCTCACGATTTTTACAACTCGTTTGCTTCAGACAGACAGCTTCAGACTCCATTACTGTAACAGGAGTAGGTCTAAAGGGGAATAGTCTGCACGCTTTTTGTATAGTCACCGTGTGAACGAATATACAACCAATTACCTAAGTAAAATACATGCCACCTCACCGAAAGCTCAAAAGCGATTTAAAACTCTAAAAGCTTAGCTTAGATTATTGCAATTGCAACCGGTGAATTTAAAAAAAATGGATTTGTATTTAGTAGAGTATGACTGTAGACTTTACTAAGTATTTCTAGGAAATACACAAGTTGACTTTATGAAACAACATACGCATATAAAATATAGCACTTTTAAGATTCCGATAGATGGTTCCATAATGAAAATAGTGTTAACACATAATGTGAGCAAAACTGAATCTGTTAGGAAAGTTTGTGATTCACACTACTGTTTGTTCGAACATGTCAGCTATCGTATCTATGATAGTATCGTTCGTAGTACAAGGTTCGAGGAATGCTAGACGTATTAACTAAAGAGGATAGAAAACAAGTCACAAAAACAAGAACCTTGTCCTCGATATAAAATATATATGTATATATAACGACATACCACTGCCGCATCAGGCTATTGCCGGTTCAGTTACACAGTGTTTTATTTTTTTTATTTTTTTTTTAAAAAGACAACTCCCGCATTAGGAATAAATCATGTGTCGCGGGGGACTTTACAAACATACATGAAACGGACACAAAGAACACCCAGACTCAAAACAACAATTTGTGGATCACACAAAGTGTCGTCCCATATGGGGTTTGAACCCACAACACTCGGCGTAGTAGGAAGCGGCGTGGCGACCGCTTAAACCACTACGCCATCCGTGCAGTATTAGGTACTTGGCTCAGACAAAAGGTTTTTTGACTTGTTTGTGATCGATAAAACAACGCTATATTAGTAAGTATCGTAAGCAGTGACTGAGGTTGTAACTTGTTGTTAAACACACTCGCGGGACAATTATGGTTTGTTTCGACGACTTGTTGTTTTTTCCGGTGTTGTGTTCTGCGATCGCGCCAACGCGTTTCTCACACTCGACGTTCCTTGTTGCTACCACATCCTCTGTGCTACTATTGTCTTTGTATTGTGCTCAATATTTAAATATTACAACGTTACAATGTTCAAGTTTACAATTAAATGGTTGTTGTGTTGTTTTGTATGGTATACGAGCAGGTACCTACTTGTCTTTGTCGTTTTGATATCACCCAATATTGATGGTTCAATAATAGTTTTCGTTATCATGTTCTACTTAGTACGGCGAATAAGAGCCAATTATTCGATAAATGTACATAGCATACATACATCTGAAGCGTTCATTCAATTGTGAGATCGGCCGACGAAATCACTGTACTGATATTATGTGGTATCTATCTACATCCTGGCGCAACGTGCCAATGTGTCGAGTTCGAATGTTGCCGGTGCTGTTTCGAAACGAGGTTTGAGGTTCTCCATACCGACCTAAGTGTTGTGCATCTTGTATAGTTTCCGCGGCAGCATATGAGGCCAGGGTACTTGCAACTTATATTTGATAGAACCATTAAAATTGAGCAATAGACATCTGACGAGATCTTTGCAATATATATATATATATTGGTTTTATGGTGTGTAATTTATCTCTAGTAGCCAACAGCAGAGTAACTAGCATGCGCGCTTAGCAGATATGCCGCGCGCCAACGTGAGCTGGGTCGCTGATGCGCCGACATCAGTATGTGAGACACGCGCGCACCGACCTCACTGAGTACCGGTCGCGGCGAGCCGGTCGCTTGTCGCACGGGAAATAATTCCACTTATTTCAATGTTCGCTGCTACAGACCACATATCTTGAGAGGGACCCCTAGACGTATCTAACTAACTAACATTCGGTGGATGATGGGTTTCAATAATACCAGATGCCGACTCTAAAATATTATTAACAGCAGAGAAGTGATTCTGAAGATACGACCAATGTAACTATTCACGGTAAACTGGATGTAGCACAGCAAGAGTAAGAAGTAGAAGCGGAAGACGTACGCGCAGCAGGCAGGCGAGGGCGAGGGCGAGCAGCAGCGGCTGTCGCCGCGGACTCGGCGCGCGGCGCATCGGATCAACGCAGCGCGGGGCGCCGCGGCGCGCGCGCCTGCCGCATGCCGCCACGGGTGGCGCGCGCCTCGCTCCACCAGCGCACTGCACCGTGCACCGCGACACACTACACACACTGCACTGGACACACTTCGTACTGCCGATGTCACTGCTCGCTCGTCACTCGTGCGCTCGCCTCGGGCCGCGCGCTCGTACTGCCGCCGGGCGCGTGCCCCCTCGCGCCGCACCCCTTACCTCGGCCTCCGCCCCACCGACAAGCTTTTAATCCGGTGCAGGACTGATTTACTTTTATTGCAACGTGCACGGTGCGCTCCCCACCGCACAGCATGCGCCCGCGCACCCATGCCATAGATGCACCACAATACTGTATTATGTAAGCTTATTGTTTTATTGCCAAATAATTAAGCATAAGGGTAAATGCTTTTATAAAAAAGGTAAAAGTGTATAACAGTATTTTTTTAAATGCTTCAATGAATCTAAAGCAGTTTTGCTTTCAGACTTTTGATTCACACCGTCCCTGTTATATTTAACGTAATACTTACTAACGCATGATTTAATAACGTCATCACGCTAACTGAAGAAATGTAGGAGAATTCGAGGAAGAGGATTCGTAAGCATTCCTAAAGTTGAATCTTGAAAAGATCATCCCACCTCTGAACAGTATTCTCATGTAATAAAAAACTAGTTTAGAAGAACTATTTCTTTTTCTCATAAATTGGTTCTTTTGATTTTGGTTATTGTTAGATGGAACCGTTACTCGATGGGATTGAAAAGATATTCGTTCATAACAACACGCGTCCATATGATAGGTAGGGAGGTACGAGGTAGGTACCTACTCTACAGTGGCAACTGCGCACGGACTACCTAATCTTTCTTTTGCTTATCAACAATAGGAGAGTAATTGTGTCATTGGCAATGATATAAGTTTAATAAATGTTTAATATTTATAGTTTTTGAGTGTCTCGTAAAGCGATAAGCAGTGCTGTTGGTACTGGATCGGTAGATGTAGCGCCTGTGTCGAGAGGAAAAAGGAGCGGAGGACGGTAGTGGCCACCGTAGGGTTGAGACTTGGCAGATAAATGGGCGGAAGCTGTTAGATGTTATCTCAATTTGCGAACGAGACACATCCGTTGGGCACCGATAGCCCATCGACGATTGCACCACAGACAACCTGGGCCTGGCCACCCTTCTGAACATACACAGATCTGAGCTTTCAGTCTTCCTATAATATATCTGTTTTGACAGCGCATTGAGGCTATAATTGTCAAATTGCAATCAAATTAGGAACTGTATAAAGTCACTGTCCAAAGGTATCTGTTTAATGTTAAGCGGTTATAGAAATTATTACTTAAAAATATTACTTGTCACTTATTAAAATTAAATTAAAATTCTACAATCTAAATGAGGCTAGAAATTGCTAGATGTATTGAGTATAGTAGTGAAACATTGAGCTTGAATAACCGCACTTGTGCAAGAGCGCTGCGTACGTCATGTGCCGGGTCGCGATGCGCGCTCGCTGTTCTCACGCAAATTACGCGCTGTTCACGCTACAATTAGGTGTGCGCTTGCGATGACGAGACACACATAAGCGTCGCCACAACACGAATATTTCTCATTATTTTTACAAAGCAGGACTTTATTACTTCAATATTCCATCTGTGCTCTCTATCCAACCTGCCTTAGGTATGGGCTCGCATCATCATACATGAACCTAACAACGACCCGGAATAAAAATTTCGGTGTGTGATACTCTTAATATTGTACAGCCGTACTTGTGTTTGTACGACGCCAAATCATTCAGTAGTGACATGAAACTAGCGTGAATACATCCCTGACTCATGTGACTCTAACTAGATGGTTAGAGTAATCTGCCATATGTTGCCGATGATATATGAGAAACTTTCTCGATGGTCCTTAATTGGCAGGGTGGAAGAACGGGGCTCGGTGGCGAGTAAATAGCCCGGAGTGAGCACGCGCGTATCCGCGCTGCGCTGGCGCAGGCGGTGCGCTGTGGTGGCGCACACAGCCCCGGGCATCACATTCATTCACTCATTGGACCAACGTCGTTCAACGTAAACTCATTGAACCGGTGGGCTTTACGCAAAAACTGCCAGCCCTTGTTTACCTACGGTATAATTGTAAACGTTCGATAGAATTTTTAAACCATTCTGAATATTCGGCTATTGAGCAAATGAAAGTAGGGAGCGTAAGAGAAGGAGAAAGAATAGGAGCGCTCTGTGTGCCCTGCACCCGTGGAGCGGACAGTGGGCCAGTCGTGGCGCGATTGACGATAAAGAGTGCATCGCACGGTGTGTTATATCATTATGTATTATGTTAGACAAATTGAATGAGCGTGTCGGCGGCCGGGCCGCGAGAACCGGTCGTGGGCCGCCGCGTCGCCGCCCGACCCGCAACACTCGCCCCGAACAATGTGATCAACATAAGACCCTCCTTGAAATTTGATTGAGAACATTGTAGGTGCACTTAACACAATGCAATTTTTATTATGTCTCACTGATAAATAGATGGTCTAGGAGCGGAAAGGATATAAGCGAGGAAGAAGAGCCATTAATGAACTTGCAAGAGCGCTTACGCGAAATGAGATATCGGTACAGGTGCACGTTGTTGTTTGTATGGGTAGTTGTCGGTATTCTCGACCGGTTTAATGATCGGCTCCATCCCCCTCTGTTAACGGGGAGGGGTAGGAACGTGGATACAATCTCAGCTGTGTCCTGTTTATTTTTAACTAACTGGTTGTATCGAATCTGTTCACATCCACCTGTGTCCGCCGGCCTCTACGCATCGACACAACGAACAATGGTCGCTTGACTCTTTAGCGAGCCAGAGATGATTACAAAAATAATCATGCAATTAGATGTTAGAAATAGCTATGACAGGCACAGTAATGTCATCTTTGAAATTCCTGTTGAACTTATAAAATGTTCTTGTAAATGTACGAACATGTTGTAATACGTACATATATGATTGCTCAGTCCAGTTCTCAAGTAAACAAAGTGATCGAATAAAATAATGGGTAATTTCATAGACAAAGTAAAAAAATGTTTTAAAAAGTATTTACAACTGTACAGCCTTGAACCAGTAACACTTTTAGTATTAGTGTAGATGAGTATTCCGCATTAATACGTTATATTTTATTAGTACGGCACAGTAAATAACATGGTTATGACATCAGGGGATAACTTATCAAAGAGAAATTTCAACCTACAGAGAAATATTACGGCTGTAGTGTCCACTTAGTACGAGGAAATATTACCTACGCACTAACTGCAACATAGATGAGGCAAGTTTACGTGTCGACAAACCTAAATGAAAAGCTTATGCACCCGTTTCTGTACCAGCGTAATATATATGCAAGAGATGGGAATTGATCGCGCTATACAACGGTCATGTGCCGATATAGGAGTGAGCGCATGCGGTACGAGCAGCCTGACGGGCGGCGCTGACTAGTCGCGCAGGAAGGCGGTACGTTTGTCTCATCAGAAGGCAAATTCTCGTAATAAAAGTTCGGTCACAATTCAGTTTCGATCAACTTTCGATGTCACAACTTAAACTTAAAAGGTATTTTCGTAGTAAAATAGTAAAGTATTAGTAACACTAGCACACTATCGATTAAATTTTCGGTTACAATACGATACAATCACATTAGAGTCAACGTTGGATGTTTAATGCTTTACTACGAAAACACCTTTTATGACAGTTGTGAGATCGAAAGTTGATCAAACTGAATTGTGACCGAACTTTTATTACGAGAATTGGCCTTAGATTCACGGGAATTCCTTCCTAGGGTACACCTGGTGCCCCGGATACTGGTACCCGAGACGGAGTACTGTTTTTGGTCGGTTCTCGTCTGACATAACCACGGGTGGGTGGTATCCGAAGGGATTAAAGCACAGACAAAAAGAAAGGCGCACTTCGTCGCGCTGTTTATAGGCGCCGCGACATTGTCACGTTACAAATAGGAAGGGGCGACACTATTTCGGCACGACTCATGCTTAACTCATGCTACTATTTTTTTTAAATGGAGTTAAATTGGTTTCAGTACTATTTATTTTTTAAATGGGTAAGAGTTGTTCAGTGCAATGCATATAGTGCCACGATAGAGGAGCAATGCGCAGGCGCAGACCCCAAGGAATGTATCGAGATTGTGATCGCTCGGAACACAAATAAACAGCGAGGTATCGGCGCGCAGGTAGCGTGTAGTACGACCACATTAATCGGACGCTAGGGTCCATAATTTCGAAGTGATAAAGTTGCTCGAGTGCCCGGTGTAAAGGAGTCGGGTTATGGGAGCGCTGTGGCCGGAACGCAACGCGACACAGATCCAGACGTTTTAATTAAGGACTCCCGGGGTGGGGTGGTAGGCTGAGGGAGGGGTCCCTTATCTTAGTTAATTTGGTAGAAGCCAACAAGCGACAACAGTCTGGTCGTCAAGCTGAGTCCCGACGTCTTTTCACGAAGTTGAAATCGGGCTGTGATTGATACTTTGGATTTGAAGGTTCTTTAGATTCCGATGCAACTGCACGATTTTTTGCACATTCTCTGTTGAGTGTACGAATAACTTTATAAAGCTGCTTAAACTTGGTACGTAACTACGTTTGTTGTAAATTCAACATTTGGTCTGTGTTACAGGTAATGTTGAATTTGCCAAATCTATAAAATAGTGACTAGCTGGTACACGTAAATAAAGTTAAACGAGTTGATCTGTTGTTGTTCTCTGTTGACGATATTAATTTAATATTACTTAAATTTATGTTTATTAGTATTAATGGTTGCGATATTGTTAAATTCATTTATAACAAAAGCATATAATATTTGATCTGTAATTTACGATTGCTAGCTGCATTGCATATGTGACAACAGTGTTTTTGCTATAATCTCGCAGAAAACAATTAAATTTATTGAAATAATAATAACTTGACACATCTCGCACGCGATAGTCTAGTCCCAAACTAGACAGAGCCTGTACTATGTTAACCAGCCTGCTGATAAACATACTTATATGTTTCCAAATACATCCATATTATAGATAAATTACACCCAGACATAGAACAAATGACCGGGCTCATCACACAGTATTGGTCCTGGGTAGGAATCGAACCCATGAACAACAGGAACATCAAATAATAAAGGCACATTTCTTTAAGAGTATAGGAACGGTCTTGAGCGCTGGGCGGCAGAGTGTGGATCGCTTTGCGCATCGTGCACTTATGGCAAAATAAAATGCATACCCATTTATTATTATTTATTTTTACTTAGTTAGTTTTTCACAAGTTACACAAGTCCTTGTGGTTTCAGCAACAGTTTGGATAAACGTGAAAACCAAGTTTT